ATAGTGTCTTCCCCATTACCAGCTTCCACCCTAAGTAGTCTATCAATTTCTGTTATCCAATGGTATGGCCTCACCTTCCCTGGTGTCTTTAACTCAGAAAATGACTACCAGTTTCTTCACTGCTTCCCATATGAATTCATTTAAAGATTGTCCCTTTGCCTATTCCTGTGATAGCGAACCTATGGCACGCGTGCCAAAGGTGGCACGCAGAGCCTTCTCTGTGGGCATGTGTGCCATTGCTAGCTGCTGTTCATGTGCACCAGAGCACCAGAAACCCAAAGACCAGCTGACTGGTGCGCATACACATGCCGGAAACTTGAAAACCAGCTGGCCGGCGCACGCATGCACACCGGCCAGCTGGTCTTCAGGTTTGTACGCATGCATGCACATGCACGTTCCGGTTTGGGCACTCGGTGCCGAAAAGGTTCGCCATCTCCATGATCTACTCCATGGGATACTTCCATAAGGTGACTATCGGGGATATTTTCTGCCTTCACTACAACCTCTATACAGAATAGTGACTTGGAATACAACATGTAGGAGGAGGATGAAATGGACAAGACTTTTGCCTGCTACTTCCAGCTTTTCTTGATTAAATCAATTTCCAGGTCAGTATGCCAGAATTGCTGAAAATCAGCAACATGGCTTTCTGACATAAGCCCTAACATAGGTATGTTAACGTAATGTTAAAAACAAAGTCTCAAAAGCCCCTGACGATAGTCAGGGTGAAAAGTGTACTTATCAAGCTACTCTCCATAGCTCTCTGCCCATTTCATATAAGATAATTCCCCTCACCATTAAGAGATTGCCTGCCTGACAAGACTGAAGACTTCCTTGTTTTATTTCTGCATTGACCAGGCCAAGAACTGTTTCTAGGTTGTCCTTCAGGGTCACTGCAGCATTCAACTCTTTTCGAATCTTCTACCCTGATTCCCTCCCTTTAATTTTAGGGGCTAAATGATGAAACAAAAGAGGAGATCCTGCTGGGAACATTCATGTATGATACTGAGAAAGAATTAATTCAGACATTCCAACTGAAGGTAAACTAGAAATGAAAGAAGTGGGGTAGAGGTAGAACTAAAAATGAGAGCAGTAGAATAGAGGTAAAACTGAAGAGGCTGTGTCAGATTGAGCTGTTTTGAAAGAACCTCCAAGTTCTGCCCCATCTCCTAAAAATCAGACAACTTTTAATTCAGTATTTTAAAGAGTGGATTAGGCTAGAGCTGGAAAACCAGAGCACCAACTGAGGGAATGTAGTTTAGATAATCTGTGGCAATTTACTCTGCAGATAGTCCTCGATTTACAACAGTTCGCTTAATGACCATTCAAAGTTACAATGTCACTGAAAAGTGACATGACCACTTTTCATACTTATGACCATTACAGCATCCCCATGGTCACGGGATTTACATTTGCACGCTTGACACCTGATTCACATTTATGATGGTTGCAGCGTCCTGGGGTCACATGATCAACTTTTGCGACCTTCTGACAAGCACAGTCAATGGGGAAACCAGATTCATTTAATAACCCTGTTGCTAATTTAACAGCTGTGATTCACTTAACAACTGTGCCAAGAAAAATTGTAAAATGGGGCAAAACTCACTTAACAAATTTCTCACACAGCAACATAACTTTTGGGCTCAATTGGGGTTATAAATTGAGGACTACCTGTACTGATGGGAGCTAATGGGACATAGTTGTAAAAAAACCACCAATCTTCTTTCTGATGAGTAACAATCCCAAAGCAGTTACAGTATACCAGTGTTTGGGAAATGGGTCTGCAGATATACAGGCTTTGTACTCTTCTATTAAACTGAGATAGAGCCATTCAAGATGATGACTTCATCTCTATTGCTTTTTATTATGTTTTATTATGTTATTATGTTTCCCTGCTCTACGTTTCAGAATGAACAAGAGAAGGCGTTCCAGTATGTAAAAATCAAAGTGCAGAGCAACTGGGGAAATCCAGAGTACACCTGCATTTATCGAGTCAGGGTGCATGGAAGGATGGCCAATATAAACCTTTTGGGCAAGAAAGTGGATGAAATCTCCCAAGATAAATAAAGAAAAACAGGCATATGAACATTTATACTGAGCAATGTAAAGAGCACCTAGAACTTGCTCTAGCTTTTCCCAGGGGAGAATGGGAAAGAAAATACGAGGACATACTAATGATGTTGAGTTATTTGACTAACAGATTTCAGTTGAAAATTCAGTTAGATTAACACAAAGGCATGGAGTTGTTAAACTAATCTGAGTTGTATGAATACTTTTGATTCTGTCCAATCTCTCAAAAAGATGAGATGACTGGAGGTGATCTCCCAATAAATATTTCAGTCCAGATTATAGCATAGAGGCAAATACACTGTGTGAGAAAAAGACAGAGAGAGAACAAGAGAACCTCTGTTGGAATATGACATTGAAATATATTCTGAGAGTTATCAGCCGGAGCTTAATTCTAGAATGTTTCTCCTCTGATGGGCTTGATGGAAGGAGGAATACTTATTTCATGACAGATGTTTAGCTGATCAATGGTGTCTCCCAAATGGACATAACTAGCAACAAAGTCCTATGTGTATCATTTACAAGTAAAGTCCCAATGAACTAATCATGTGGCCTAGGTATGCTTCTTATGGTCTGCCTGTAATGGAGGAGAGATGGGGAATCTTCTCTCAGCAGTTCACTGTTCTTTATGTTCTGTGTGGATAAATGGAATGATCTCATCACGGAAGAAAAGATGTTATTTCATCCTAGACAGATCATTGTTTTCTCAGAGTGTGGCATTCCTTGTCATATAGCAAGGTAACAGCCAAGTTTGACTCTAGGCTCATGCCCTGGCACGCATAGACCTCAATGAAGCAAACCGAGAGGAAGAGGGGCATCAACATATGAAAACATATGAAAAACAGCATACTGAGTTAAAATAGCTTGTACATCTACAAACAATCTGGCTCTGTTGATAGATACAACTACTAGCATTAATGCATGGACAAACTCCATATTTTATTTTATTTATTTGTCAATCGTTTACAAAATAACAGGTATAAGAATAAACATGAGTATGAATGAAATGGGTATGAATAAATGGGGACAGTAGGACAGGAACAGTAGGCATGATGGTGCGCTTATGCACGCCCTCTTACAGAACTCTTAGGAATGGGGTGAGGTCAATAGTAGACAGTTTAAGGTTAAAGTTTTGGGGATTTGAAGATGTAACAACAGAGTCAGGTAGTGCATTCCAGGCATTGACCACTCTGCTGCTGAAGTCGTATTTTCTGCAATCAAATTTGGAGCGGTTTGCATTCAGTTTGTATCTGTTGGGTGCTTTTGTATTATTGTAGTTGAAGCTGAAGTAGTCATTGACCGGTAAGACATAGCAGATAATTTGGTGTACTATGCTTAAGTCCGACCATAGGTGTAGTTCTAGGTTGTCCAAGCCCAAAATTTCAAGCCTGGTGGTGTAGGATATTCTGTTGCAAGTAGAGGAGTATAGTACTTTTCTCGTGAAATACTTCTGAACTCGCTCAATTGTATTAATGTCCAACATATAGTGTGGATTCCAGACAGATGAGCTGTATTCAAGAATTGGTCTGGCAAAGGTTTTGTATGCCCTTGTTAGATCAGGGATGGGCTTCTGCCAGCATTACTGCCGGTTCGGTGCATGCGCGATTTGGCTTCTCTACCTTGAATGGCCTGTGGTCAGATAGGAAGCAGTTGTTAGTTGTTAAAGAAAGTTAGCTTACCAGAACCAGAAGAATTTGTCTGTTTTCACCTTAATTCCACATATCTTTTTCCTTTATATATAGTTCTCAGATAGACCATACTGTTCCATGGAGCCTGTAGGTCATGGTAAGGGAGAAAGATGTAAACATATTGTCATGACCTATTTAGAGTTATAAAGAGAAAACACACAGGTAAACCCTTATTGTTAGAGTCTTCCCCCTCCAGGTCATTTTAAATGTGTTACCTACCTACCTACCTACCTACCTACCTACCTACCTACCTACCTACCTACCTACCTACCTATATAGATATATAGATACACACACACACACACACACACACACACACACACACCCCTACTTACTTACTTACTTACTTACTTACTTTGTTCCTTGGGGGCCAATAACATATTTTGGATTGATTTCCAGCCAGCGAGAGGAAAGAGGAAATGCAAGAAGCCAATGATAATCAACATGTGATTGGGGGCATCCCATCATCTGCCAACATATTCCCCATTGTCTTAAGGCCAAACTGAGGGGCCCATTTAATTAATGTGATGGTAATTTGCTCATCATCTTCCCAGGCGCTTTTCACTTCTTGCTGTCTTCTACAAAATTACTGTAGAGAACCAGAAGCTCTCCCGCCATCCACATTATGCCTTTCATTTTAAGTTTCCAATTTCGACAGGCTTGCCCTTCTAGCCTGCTAAATTGCCTCAGGGAACTATTTTAGCGCGACCTCGTTTATTTAGCCCTTTTAAAGGCCCTTTCACACTTTCATGGGCACGAAAAGGGTAATGAAACGTCTGCAAGAAAGCAACTAAGTTCAGAGAACCCCAAGGACCCCTCAGAGCTGACTTGACGCGGTCCGGATGGGACAACTCAGGCATCCTGATATTATAATTAATGTAACACAATAAAAGCAACACATGACTATATATCTTATGCCTTTATTATATATACAATTAACTTTTAGGAATCACCCTTTTGCATATAGAAAAGACATTCAAGCTAAGGGAGGAGCGATTGGGAAAAAGTGGAGGAAATCCTTTCCCGCACGTTTAAAACACAAAACGAAGAGATTTCAAGACGCTTTAGAGTCGCTCGGTTTACTCCAACCCCGGTAATCATGAGGGGGGGAAATAATGAAGAAATAGGAAAATCTATGAGCAAGCTACAACAACCGGAAGCAGATGCTCTTCTGAATCGCTTGCCTTTATTCCTATCTCTATGACTGGGCACGCGACTCGGAAGTGACGTTAGCCCACGCTGCCCTCCCTCCCTCCTTCCTAGGACTGTCCTCTCGCCGCAGCAAGGTCGCGCAGGCGCAGAGAGGCGCGGGGCCGAAGCAGTGTCCGAGATCGGGCATAACCAAGATGTCGCGGGGTTCGGGGCTGCAGCCCAGAGACCTCCCCGAGGAGGTGATCGGCTACACACCGGAGGAGAAGCTCCGGCGCCAGCAGCTGCGGGAGCTCCGGCGCCGCTGGCTCAAAGACCAGGAGCTGAGCCCCCGGGAACCGGTCCTTCCCCCGCGGAAGCTCGGCTTTGTGGAAGCTTTCTGGCAGCGCTTCCTTCAGCCCGAGAAGTTGTGGAAGAGACAGGTGAAGCCCAGGAGAAGGGCGGGGGAGTGGAGGGTTCCCGTCGGGCTAGCCTGGGCGGTGCCTTCTGAGGACGATGGGTGTTGTAGTACAGCATCTGGCCCGGGCACCAGCTTCAGGGAAGGTGCTCTAATAAATAGTTTATTTCTTTATTTTATTTATATATTTTTATTTGTCAAGCATGAATTAGAGAACAGAGATAAGTATAAACATGATTATGAATACATGAAATGGATACGAATACAAGGGAATATTAGGACAGGGACGGTAGGCACTTTGGTGTGCTTATGCATGCCCCCTAAGGACCTCTTAGGAATGGGGTGAGGTCCATGGTAGACAGCTTAAGGTTAAAGTTTTGGGGGGTTTGGGGAAGAAACCACAGTGTCAGGTAGTGCATTTCAGGCATTGACCACTCTGTTACTGAAGTCGTATTTTCTGCAATCAATTTTGAAGCCACGTTTGGAGCGATTTACTTTAAGTTTGTATCTATTGTGTGCTCCTGCATTGTTGTGGTTGAAGCTGACGTAGTCATTGACAGGTAAGACATTTTATATTCTATGCTTAGGTCAGACCGAAAGCGGCCTAAGGTACTAAGTTGTCTTAAGACTAAAATTTCAAGCCTAGTGGCATAAGGCGAGCAGAGGAGTGGAGGACTCTTCTCATGAAATATCTCTGGACTTGCTCAATTGTTTTAATGTCCAATATGCAGTGCGTATTCCAGACAGATGAGCTGTATTCAAGAATCGGTCTAGCAAATGTTTTGTATGCTCTAGTTAGCAGAACAATATTACCAGAGAAAAAACTACGGAAGATTAGGTTAATAACTCTTAATGCCTTTTTGGCAATGTTGTTACAGTGAGCTCTGGCTCTTACTAAAGCAAACAAGGTTTTGATGGGTTAAGATTGCAACCCTACATTTTATTGGGATTAAAGGTAGAAACGCCTTGGTCCTCTGGATGTGAGATCCAAAAAGCGCTATTTAGCAGACACATTATGATTTATGTGGTTTAATACCCACATACACACTCCTCCTAGACATCTTGCTTAAAGATGCTTCTCTAGTAATTACTGATGTCTTTTTACGGTAGAGGTATTGAATCTGTAGGTCATTTGGTCATGCCACTCTCCCAAGAAAGCTAAACTTTTTGAGTTTTAAAAAGCATGTTAAAGTAAAGATAATGATCTATATAATAAGGCTTCCCATAATAAAATATGTAAATATTCCTAGCAAATCAGATCTCTTGAGTTTTGTTTATTGAACTTTATTGTTTGGGTTGGATTTAGATAATCCCCTATTTCAGATTGAGTCTGAGTGGGTCATGATGTAAACAAATTTAAATAAATGTATAGTAGAAAATATGGGGGGGAAATAGAGATTGAAGAATAAAGTACAAAGGGGAATCACAGCTATTAGCTGAATACAGGTAGTCCTTTGACTTATGACTACAATGGAGCCCACAATTTTGATTGTTAAGTGAGACAATTGTTAGCTTTGCCCCATTTTATGTCTTTTCTTGCCACAGTTGTTAAGTGAATCACTTGCAGCTGATAAATTAGTAACGCAGTTGTTAAGTGAATCTGGCTTCCCCATTGACTTTGCTTGCCAGAAGGTCGCAAAAGGTGATCACGGGATCTTGGGACGCAGCAATGGTCATAAATATGAACCAGTTGCCAAGCACCTGAATTTTGGTCACATGATCATGGGGATGTTGCAAAGGACATAATTGTGAAAAATGGTCATGTCACTTTATTCTGAACTGTTGTAACTTTGAGCAGTCACTAAATGAACTATTGTAAGTTGAGGATTTTGTCTCCTGTGATTAATCTTATTCAGGGCCCTAGTATGGCCAAAATAACAACAAAACATCTTTAATACATACATGATGTGTATATTTGCAGCAACTCCATTGAAACCCAGGAATATTTTCTAACAGTGTTTTTCAGCCTTCTGTTTTTGAAAATCTCTGGAAAACTACTGTAAATTACAACTGGTGCAATTAAAAGCCACAGCGTTCTACAAAGGAAGTGAGGCTGGTTGATGTATTTCTGTAATATATCTGGTATTTTCTATGTTTGGAGAACAAAATAAACTGTTTTCATAAAAGAATTTGGCAATATGTGAAAGTTCTTAATTTGGGGATAAAGAAAATTTATATAAAGTCTCTGAGATAACCACGTCCTGCAAGGCACCTTTTATCGTTCAGCATGGTGGGAAGAGCTGAGAAGCTTGTCTTTCATTTTGTGTGAATTTTCCTATCTGTATCCAACAAACTGATTTATGAAAACTTATTTGGAATGAATTAGCTTTATGGCGAATTCAACTATGCATAAAATTATAGTTTAATGCAGGATCAAATGATAAATATGAACAGATAAATTTATCTTACCCTGAGGCTATTCCAGAAAGCAAAGGAGATTTATTCCTACAGGATTGTACCATAGTTTCCTATTACATAAAAATAACATTAAACATAAATTTTAAATTTCAACAAATCTAATAAAATTGTATTGATGTAATCAAGCGTCAGAGAACTAAATTTTTAATATTTTTTTTAGGTATTCAAAATCTACAATGCTGGAAAATTTACTATAATTAACCTTATTATTCCTCTGTGGATTGCCCATTATCTTGTCAAATATCATGCCCAGGTATGTATGTATGTATGTATGTATGTATGTATGTATGTATGTATGT